TCAAATAAGTGAGATACATTCACCTACCCTCACCATTCACTACTGGCCAAAACACCATCCACACAACTACAACTTATCCCTGATTTTCTACCCACCAAAGGGACAACAACAAGTGGAGGTCATGCTATTGATTTAGGAGAAGAAGACATGAAGTTTCCTTATGTCTACATTCAATGTATTGTGTATTTCTTCCCCCTTCCCCTGCCTATATATAATCAGGCCTTATGGCCATTGTAACACATCTTTGAATATTTAAAACCATTTTACTCTTTGAGTATTATTAAAATAGTCTGATGCTATTTTAGCCAAATTCCTAATTCTTTATCTTAAGAGTGGTTATCTTAAGTGTGAGTTTTAGGTTCTAGATATTTAATTAAGTGTGTAATATCTTAATTGAATTCTAGATTCAAACCCCAAGTTAGGATAAGAGTGTGTAATATCTCCTAACACCAACTTGGTTTTATCCATCCGTGATATTTCTTCCATTTCATATCCCTCCATTTCTCCTTCTTAATCCTATTCTTTTTCTTCCATAAAATACCAAAAAAGAACTCCTAAAACACCCTCCATACTTTCGCCCACTATTTCCCTTCCATTTTTCTCCGCACATCCGCCACTAAATTATCAACTTGATAAGACCCCCGGTTTACCCCTAACAATATACTTTTAATTTTATTTGTTATGAATTTGAGGTAAGTTTTTATTGATTGCCTTTTTATTTCATAAATTTTGTATAGTTTTAGTTGTTTTTCTTAGTTTTGTTATTTTAATACTTTTTTTTTATTTTTTCTGAGGTATGACTAATCCTTAAAAAAGAAAAAAAATGATTGAGATAGAAGGACATTTTGAAAATGTAGGGAACAATTAAAAAAACCCAAAATTAATACTCCCTCCGTCCCTAGATATTTGTCACATTTGTATTCCCGAGACAAAATATCAAGTTTTTTCAATTCATTTTATTTACATATTGGTATAGAAATAAAAAATAAAATTTACATATAAAAAAACTACATGAAAAGTTCTTCAAAATAAAAGGTGTCAAGAATATTTTATTTTATCAAATAACCAATGAAAACGTAGAAACAAACAAAAGTTCCCGCGACTGCTGAAAAAGCAAACGTTGCAAATAATTTGGGACGGAGAGAGTAAAAAATTGTCTAAACTTTTATTTTGTTGCGCAAAACAAGTCGTCTCTGTTAACCCGTTGTTAGCAGCTTAAGTGTGACTCAAAACTCGCAAATTCCAATAAAGTTGAGATTATTGTGAGTCAAAGGTAAACTAATTATTTTCGAAATACTAATTATGTTGGACTTTTGCTTGGATATTTTTTCCTATTTTTTATTACTGAAAATTGCTCGTAATACAAGATACTCCGTATGTAATTAAATAAACTTAATTAAAAGTAGTTTCACTCAAAATATATAAATCAAGAGCAAATAAAATTCTTACTTGAAAAGTTGGAGGGGGTTGGTGATGAAGAAGGTTTTCTTGGAGGACATGATCATGGACGTGGTTATAAATAATAAATCTTAAACCAATAATATTTGGTTGATGAAATTATAAGTATATGTAGTTTGACAAGAAGAGAAGAGTATGGACAGAAGGTTTAAATAATATAGTTTGGGAGTGGGATTCAGAAGAATAAGAAGGTGTTTGCCGGGTGAGCAATTTCATTCCTAGTTATCACCCAAGATTTTGGGAATACTACCAAATCTTTTTTTAGAAACCAAACACATAATCCTAGCTGGATAAATTTGCATGTGATTCGAATATTTCCAGCAGAATTATTCCATATGGGAGCCCATATTTCTTTGGTAAAATACCATATACGGAGTATATGAAGAGAGAGAATATCAAAATATGAATGTCATGTTTTAAATCTCCAAAAGTCGAGATAAGCCTTAGGTATATCTAGTGATTAGAATATTCGTATAGATCGTTTTTACGTTCATAAACGATCGTTTAGTTGAGTTTTGTGTTTGCAAGCTTGAAGAAGACCAAGAATCATAAACCTGGAAATTATTGTTAAAACATCATGTGCAAGAAAAGAAACAATTTAAGCGTCACGCTCAAAATGGGGCCAAATTTTCACCATTTTTTTGGCTTTGGGGTGTGATGGAATAAATCAAAATGGATCTCTAAACTGTCTGCGCTTCTTTAATTAATGAAGTAGCAGTTAGTCAAGCAATGCAACTTTCGACGTTGAGCCGGGGGTCTCTTTGGAAACAGCCTCTCTACTTTCGAGTAGGTGTAAGGTCTGCGTACACACACCCTCCCCAGACCCTACTCTTGTGGGATTTAACTGGGTTGTTGTTGTTGTTGTTTGCTCAAAATGTAAGTTGCCAATGTGGCCAAAAAATGTAATTTATAATAACATCCCAATTTGCATATATAATCCAAACTAGTTGGTTAGCAAACTGGGTTGCCACCCAATTAGTATCCACGTTTTGAAAATATTTTGAGTAAATCATACATCACACTTAAAATATAAATCCATCAGAATAATTAATTTAAAACATTAGAGAAGCCTTTGAAAACAACATCACAAAATAGTCTCGAAATAAGAATAGATAGTTTAGCAAGTAGATAAATTAAAATAAGATAAGATCTCCATCCACTTCACGACACATCAACGACCGCTTAATCTAATTTTGTTCATTAATACATACGTGCAGCAAAAAGCAAACAAAGATTACAAGTTTAGTTTAGATTTGAGTGATAATATATCTAACGTTAGAAGCATCTTGAGACATAGGATACTATACACACAAGACATACATGGTTAATGCCATTTAATTTCTGTTACGAATAGTTTTATGCTCTTAACATATGACAGATAAGGCCCAACTCACTCACTATGACTCATGGACATCCAAGTACTCTATAGTGCCACACTTAAACCTCAGGACTTCAATGAGGCAGGTTGGAGCACAGGACGGTCGGACCTCTCTAACATAGATAGATAGGTCACGAACTCCCATACATTTGTTTTCATCCAAAGATCATCAAGTGTGTGACGACGCCCCAGATGTCTTAATACCTAATTCGAGTCGTATCGGTAATTCCAAATCTTTTGATTCAATTCTGACAAGACATACACGATCAATACCATGGGGGCGGTTCCCATGACATTGCCCGATAATGTCATGGGATGACCCGAGGGCGCTCCGGTTCCCCGTTCGTAAAATTGAAGGTTCCTACCCCCTAGCTTCCTCGGTAAACCCCTCCACCCCGCCCCGCCCCGAACACCCCCCTCCCCCACCCCCTTCAATTGCATCCCACAAGTTGATTTTGACTTTGGAGTCAAAATTTGACTCCAAAGTCAAAATCAACTTGTGGGGTGCAATTGAAAGGGGTGGGGGGTGTGTTCGGGTCGGGTCGGGGTGGAGGGGTTTACCGGGGGGTTAGGGGGGTAAGAACCGTCAATTTTACGAATGGGGTACCGGAGCGTCCCCGGGTCATCCCATGACACGGGGTTCCAATGTCATGGGAACCCCACCGCAATACCATTTAATTTCCTTTTCGAAAAGTTTTAAGCTCTTAACATACGACAGATAAGGCCCAATTGACTCACTATGAATCATGGACATCCAACTAATCCAAGTATTGTATAATGCCACACTCAAACCTCAGAAAACTTCAATGGGGCATGTTGGGGACCAGACGGTTGGATAGATCAGTTACGAACTCCCATACATTTATTTTTAACCAAAGATCATCAAGTGACGCCCCACATGTCTTAATACCTAATTCGAATCCTACTGGTAATTCCAAATCATTTGATTTAATTCTGATTCGCCTAGACATACGAGGTGATCTATTCGTTAACCATTGTTCATAATTTAAGATTTATCACACCACTAATCTTAACCACAATCACCATATCACATGCCTTGCGTAATCATGTCAAATTATATCAAACTTCGACCTACTAGATGGGTCAAGGACCCACTGATTACCATTATGCATTGAATATTACAAATTAAAAGGGTTACAAACTAACTCATGAAACATGCCAATTGATTCTGAGTGATGGTAGCTTATTAATGCCCGGTGGTAGCTGGGTACCATTTGCCGGTACTGATCATGCTAGTGATGTAGCGTACGATTAGTTTGTCGGCTGGAGACATTGCGTAACGGTAGTCGGCTACTGGACTGTATGGCCACTTCTTGTGGGTTTTAAGTGTGTAGTGGCACATACGCTACAAATAACTTTTTAAGTAGTTTGTTAGTACATAATTTTTTGTATTCTACTTGTAAAATCAAATAAATTAAATTGAAAATAAAATTAGTCCAGTCTTGTGATGTATAATGAGAAAATGTTTTCGAGGCGGAGAAAACAATACAAAAAAAAAAAGTAAATTTACAAATTTATTTTGACAAAATTGCCCCAAGTGAAGAACATTTGGGCTCTACATTCCCACACCCCCAAAGAATGCATTAAATTAGGAAAATGAGATCAAACGCATGTTCCTTCAACTATCCTCCGGGCTCATACTCATAGCATCGCCACTCTATTTTACCTTTAAAAAAACACCCACCAATTTGCCGCATCAAATCATTTCTCATATTTCGATCACAGCGAGGAAATTTTTGGTCATTAAATTCGAATTACACGATCATGATCATCTTTCCACTCACATGTACGCTGAAAGCGACAGGAGATTTCGGGGTCTCTCGCCCAGAGATTTTCTTGTTTTTTCTACCCCATCAAACTGTAAAAAAGAGAAAAAACAAAAGAAGAGAAGAAGAGGAACAACGACAATAAATGTAAATGCATAATTCTCGTCAAATGTTTTTATTTTTGGTTTGGTTTACTTTTCTTTCTTCTTAAGGTTTTTGTTTGTTGGACAGTGCTTATGATGATTGATGAGAAAGGATTAATGTTTGACTCTGCGGCGGTGTAATTGTCACTGCTCCAAAGCTGACACAGCTTCCCAAGTTAGAGAAAGAAAAAGATTTATACTGCTCCGTATTTGTAATTAATTTTCGTTTTTAAAAAAAACATTTTGTTTTGTATTCTTTTTGGGACATTTTGATTTTAACGGTTGTTGATTATCACATGGATAGATGGATAGATATGTGCGAAAGAAAAAGATTCTTTTTCTTCCATTCTAATTTTTTTTTTTCAATTTAAAATTTCCTTTTTTCCACATTGATTGGTTGGATTTTTAAGAATAGGTATTAGGGCTTCTTTCATTGCTTCTTGCGCTCACGCATTTTCGTATTCTGTGGTGGAATTTGGAGCTCCCGATTGGCGTAGGCCCTCGATCGCCGTTGATTTCTTCTTCAAGATTCCTCTGTTTTCTCGTCTGGGCTGGTAAGTTCATTGTGACTGGTGTGATTTTTCTTCGATCTGTTCTTCGTTTTGGGATCTGGGTTGCAGAATCATTTGATTTTGTTTACTTCTTCTTGTTAGATTAGGGTTTAAGTGTTTTTTGTTTTTTTTTGAAGCTCTGCTTCTGCTTCAGAAGGGAGTAGGGTGATATGGTAAAGGGAGTCTTGGTTATTGATATAAGGCTGGTTATTGGGTATGCAAAGTGTGCTGGACTTTCATAGTCAAGGAGAGTGAAGAAAGTTGGAGTCTGGAGATAGCCACCAGGAGAAACTGTCCTGATGTATTCTGCTCTGGGGACTTCCAAATATAGTTGTAGTCTTCTGGCAGTTGTGTTTGGTAGTGCTGCAGAGAATGAAAACACCCAAGATTTTGAAGGGGATACACTTCGATATCCCTTCCCGAAGATGGCATCATCTGGTCATTTGGAGGTGTGAGATTTTTATACATTGTTGTAAATACCATGTTTGGATTTGTGGGTTTCGCTGTGAGTGAAATTTGGTGTAGAAAATAGGTTTGGAATATACTTTTGCTTATTGCAGGTTCAACTTTTAAAAAATCCCAGTTCAGATGAATTTCGTAAGGCTGTCTGTTCAGTGAAACCAAACATTGTGTTAGTTCAGGGAGAGTATCTAAACGAGGAACTTGATATGTTAGTATGGGAAGGTTTTAACCTGTCTTCTGAAGAATCAACTTCTGGGCTTTCGGGTTCTGGATTTCCGAGCACAGTATGTGACCTAACTTCATTCCTTTCCACTAGGCGAAAGAGCTTTACTTTATTCATAGGAGATCTGTGAATTTGTCTTTACTTTTTAAACTTCTAGTTTCAAAATTGAATCCGTATTTCTGCAAAAAAAGGTTTTTCTCTTTCTCTAGTTTTTCCCCTTTTTCCTTCAGTACATTTGGGCTTTTGTAAATCCTTTTTCTTTCTCTAGTTTCAGAGTGACTAATTTTCTCTTCTTGGTTTTATATGGTATCGCAAAATCTCCAGGTTTACTTGGAGCTCCCAGAAGGAGAAGGATTGGCTGAGGCTCTTCACTCAAAGGTAACACCAAACACTGTTTTAGTTCTATCCACTGCATACTTCCTTACAGGGAATTCCTTACACTGCATACTTCTTTACAGGGAATTCCTTATGTGATATATTGGAAGAACGTGTTTTTTCGTTACGCTGCTTGCCATTTTCGCCATGCATTGTTTTCAGTTGTACAGAGGTAATCTTTTTTTTTTGTGCCTTTATGGCCATGTTCAAAACTTGGAAAATGGTAGGGAAAGGAAAATAAGTGCCAAGGAGCATGATTCTTTTTCCAATTTTCCTTTTGACTTTGAAACTAGAGAGGAAAATCAATTTTGATCACACACACACACATACACACATATATATCATGTGTGTGTATTTCTATTTCCTAGTGATCATATGATAGAAATGTGTAAAGAAAATGAGTGAACAAATTTCTTAGTTTGATGTTTTTGAATGCCAATATTCTATTTTTCCCAAAACTTATTTCCTTCCACATTTCTCATCTAATTTTCATTCCTATTTTCCCATTGCATATCCCAGTTTCCAAACCCGCCCTTTGTGTTCAGCTTGTTGTTTCTATTTTTTGCCTCCTGCAGCTCACCTTGTCACACTTGGGATGCATTCCAACTAGCAAATGCTTCATATAGGCTATATTGTTCACACAACAATATTCTTCTCCCTGATAATAGTCAAATGAGTGGCGGTATGATGGTCCCTCAGATCCTTGGAGAACCTCCGAAGATTGATGTTCCTTCACCAGAGCCAGGTGATGAAGATGACGGAGAAAGCTCCCTTGGACTTCTTTCTTCCATCAAAATCTATGATGATGATGTGAATATGAGGTTTCTTGTTTGTGGAACGGCACAGTTATTGGTAAGAGGAATATATCATTTTTCTTGCTTTTGTTTTCCATTCCATATGTGCATAAATCAGCTCATTTTATTCAGGATAATTGTCTGCTGGATTCCCTAGAGGATGGCCTCAATGCCCTTTTAAGCATAGAAGTGAGTACAAATATCATTATATTTTTTGCATCATCAGGTTTCTTATTTATCGCTAATTTAACTTATTTATTCAATTTATTTTTCTCTTTTCTGATTCCAGATGCGGGGTAGCAAGCTCCATAATAGGGCCAGGTAAAACCCAGTAATTTAATTATAAAGTTTCATGGGAGAGGTTGGGTGTTCATTGCAATGAGTTTCCTTTTCATAATTTCTACCATTACCTATTTTCCAACTTTTAAGTTTCCAATTTGATATTTGACATAATGAGAAACAGGGATTTTATATTGGGGGCTGAGTTCAATCACTTCAATGATTTTTGGTACTACCAAAAAAGAGTCCTGCTTGATCAATGTTTGAATTTTTAGTTTTGGCAATGTTGTGTCCTACTTATATTTTTGAATGAATTTATCATATGCAACTTCCCTGTAACTTTTTTTTTTCTTGGCAAATTTATGAAATGGGAATTGTTTTTGAACAAGAAAGCTGTTGAATCATCTACTTAGAACATGATAAAATTTTGTGATCTCTTTAATCCTAATGTAGCTGCTAAACATGATTACAGTGCCCTTCCACCACCACTAGAGGCAAGTACATTTTCTCGTGGAGTGGTGACTATGCGTTGCGATCTATCAACCAGTAGTTCTGCTCATATTTCTCTTCTAGTGTCGGGCAGTGCTCAAACGTGCTTTGATGATCAGGTAATCCTATTGCTGTTTATTTTAAAAAAGAAACAAAAAAATACTTACAAAATTGTTCGCTATTTTCTTATTTTGTCATTCGTGCTTCGTGCTGCGGGAATTTTATTCAGCTTTTGGAGAATCACATAAAAAGAGAAATAATTGAAAACACCCGACTGGTGCAAGCCGTGCGGTGTGGTGAAGAAAGACAGATTCCTTTATCTGAACCTCGAAGATCTGTTTCAATAGCTTGTGGTGCAGCAACTTTTGAAGTGTGGATGAAGGTTCCTACATGGGCTTCACAGGTTCTAATTCTATGCTTTTCTTAGATATTTTTTTTTCATTTTAATGGTCAGCATTTCAAGCTTTACTCGATTAGGCTTGTATGACTTGAAATTCTTAGTTGCACAAAGTCTTGGAAGTTTTTTTTTTCTCTTGGAAACTACATGAAATATGAGTCTTTTGTAAAGAATAGGGCTTCTTTGGGACATATGGTTTTTTTTCATGCTGGACTTTTTTTCTGGGACAGAGAGAGTATAGGTATTTGTCCTTTTTCTCGGACTATGCTGTGGGATTCTACTGGGTTTGCTGTTCTAGTGTTATTTACTTCCTCTTTGTTGTACAAACCTCTTACAGGTTCTAAGGCAACTGGCACCGGATTTTTCATACCGTAGCTTAGTAGCACTTGGCATTGCAAGCCTTCAGGGAGTAGCTGTTGCCACATTTGAGAAAGAGGACGCAGAAAGAATCCTTTTCTTTTGCAAGGAAGCCCCTGGGAAGGATCTCCGTTCTAGAGTTAGTTTTAACAATATTACCATCACGCCCCCAATGTGGTTAAGACCGCCTCCTCCTACCAGAAAGAGGTCTTCTTCAATGTACCAAGAATCCGGCCTAAAGAATGAAGAGGAAAAGGAGAATGGGCTTTTCGTGCCTGTTGGGCCCACCAGAAAGAAGGTGAAAGTTGCGGCAATGAGACCCGTTCCTCATCTCCATCACCAAAAACTGGTTCCCTTCTCTGCCGGAATTTCGGAGGTGGAGGCTCGTAATGACGGGACCCAGTTTGTGAAATATAATATGCCCAATGTTTCTTCAACAAAGGCCTGTAACGTTGGGGTTAATTCTCTTAGTCAACGGAAATCATTGCCAAGCTCAAATCAAGCGAAGCAAATTATCTCTTTGAATCCCCTTCCTCTGAAGAAGCATGAATGTGGTAGAAGCCCCATACTTGTCTGCTCTGAGGTAATAAAAAAAGGTTCTTTTTTTATTACTTCCAGCTTTTAACATCACGTGAACTCTTGATTTTTATTTCACATATTATTATTTTTTGTTAGTACTCCATATTAAACTAGATTTTAAAAGTTGTACCTTGATGAAACAAAACATTTTTTAGGAGACGAAGTTAGGATATGTTTAGTTAGATCATGTTTTCTTTATAAATTTGCATCTCACTTTCGGATCCTCTAAATGTAAGAATACCCCCCCCCCCCCACACACACACCCAAAAACAAAAAACCAACCAAACAAACGGCTTAGGGGTTCTAAAGCCTTGATTTTTTTTTTCTCTAATTGACTTTGTTGCAGGAAGAATTCCTTAAGGATGTGATGCAGTTTCTTTTACTCCGTGGCCATACGCGCCTCATTCCTCAAGGGGGACTTGCCGAGTTTCCCGAAGCCATACTCAATGCCAAACGTCTTGACCTATTCAACTTGTACAGGGAGGTGGGTGAGATCCTTACTTTCGTTGTTGAGTGGAAGAATTTTCTCTGCTTCCTTTTATAATCATATTTACTGCTAGCAAATAATTGTTTATTTTACTCTAACCGGAGTGCATGCCATCAGGTGGTGTCTAGAGGTGGTTTTCATGTTGGGAATGGCATCAACTGGAAAGGACAAGTTTTCTCCAAAATGCGCAATCACACTATAACAAATAGAATGACCGTGAGCCACTCACTCTTCTCTCTCTCTCCGTCTTCCTCTCTCTCGTTTTTGCCCAATAAGGAAATAACAAAAATTGATCAAATCTATTACTCTGTCCTAAAAAAAGTTTGTGTCTTTGAACATATCTTTGTCCGGAAAAACATAGTGATTTTTTGAGTGGGTCCATTTGGAAAGATAGAATATGACTTCTCAAAAACATTTTTTTTTCTGGTGTTTGGTTGAAATTTTGGAAAATGAAAGTTATAACATACTACGTAAATCATTTTTTGTTGATTCGTATTCGCCGAAGCAGCCAAACACCAAAAAAATGGGAAAAAGACTTCGGAAATCTAATGCCCGGAAGCCATTTAGTTTGACACTGAAAATTCCCTTTGGATGATTTCTTAAACAGGGTGTTGGGAACACACTTAAAAGGCATTATGAGACATACCTGTTGGAGTATGAACTGGCACATGATGATGTTGATGGGGAATGCTGCTTGTTGTGCCACAGGTCAAAATCCAATTTGAACTTGCTTCGTTAGGCCACGTTTGGCACGTCATGAGCTATCTTTATTTTTTATAAAAGAGAGCTTATTGAATAAAGCTTATATATTCTAGATTTGAATATATCTTACTTAAACACTAACACCCAATCTCGAATCTTTTTTACAGTAGTGCTGCTGGTGATTGGGTGAATTGTGGGATGTGCGGCGAATGGGCCCACTTCGGTTGTGATAGAAGGCCTGGTCTTGGCGCCTTCAAGGTAATCGTCATAACAATACGCACCATTTCTANGCTTGCATGTGCCCCCCGTGGAGGTTATTTGGGGAAATAAAAAAAACAATGAACCGTCACGTTGCAGGATTATGCAAAGACAGATGGACTAGAATACATATGTCCTCAGTGCAGCATTACCAAATTCAAGAAGAAAATTCAGAGAAGTACAAACGGCTATTCTTGAGGAGGCAGGCAAGGCTTAACACGGCAATCCGTTTTCCGGGGTTCTTACTAATACTACTACTACTAATCCTGATTATCAATTTTTTTTCGTCGTTTACATTTTTGCCCCTCCCTTCTACATAGTAGTTAACTTTTCTCGTTAGACCTGCCCTTATTATGAGCAGGCAAATGTGGGCAATATGTATCTATCTTCAAGGTGTGCTTGGGGAGAGGAATAGGAATATGGTCAGTAGGAAATTATAAGCAAGAGAGTGAGAAGCTTGACATGTGAAGGGAACAAACAAAATGTTGTACTTGTAATAGTAGTAGTATTAGTACATATCTTATCACAAAATCATTTTTTGCGAGTATAATTCGCATGAATTTGAGTCTGTAAAATCCGCGCGCATGCAAAGAGCGTGGATTTTACAGTCAAATTCATGCAAATTACTGTCCCTTTGAAGAGAGGGGCCCCCTACCCCAAAGCATGAAATCTTTGTTTGTTCTTTTTCTAAATGTGAATTGTAACTAAAACACGGCACGTGGAGTAATAATACTAAAAAACACAGTGTTACTCACGGGCTTCATTTGTATTGATCATAGGATGTTTTTTTTTAAGTTAACACAACTCATGTCTCATGTATAATGACTGGTTCTTGAGCATTTGTTGGACGTGATAATCTTGTTTAGCATGTCCATTAAGTGCGGTTACGAGTAATAATTTAGGTACATTAATTTACCAGTACTTTTAATCGTAGTTTAGATGGTATGGAGGGAAGAACGTTAAATTCGAGGTCAAATGAAAATTACTCGTACCTTTTTTTTTCAATTTACGGTTAAAATTTACATAAAAGTTAAATTATAGTTACAAAAAGTTAATTTACGGGAACTTCTCTCCTGACTCGAGTGGTAGGAAGTCACTCCTCATGATCTATGGGAAGTTCATCCAAGTTCGAGTCTAGTGAAAGTGGGAGCATTGTTATTTGTGCGTAATTAAGTTGAGAATAGTATAAACAGATATTCCGTACTACGGAGTATTTTATAATAAAGTCAATATGACTAAGAAAAAGTTGATTTACGGAGCACAAAACCGAAAAAAATAATACTTCCGTTTTGACAAGATTATTATATTTTGACCTGTTTTATTAAATCTTATGGTAATTTGATTATAAATTAAATATTGTTTCAAATAATTTAATGTTATAAAATATAATAAAATAGATTAAAATATATTTTAAAATAAGTTCAATTTTATACTAATTAAATACGGAGTATCTTTTTTTAATGTACTGTAATTTATAGTGTTTGACTGACTGAGTGCAGTGGAACGCACAGTATTACACTTGTGCTGCATCATCTGAGTTCAATTTTTGTCACTCCCATTATTTGCTTCCCGTTTCCTTCTCTTTCTCTATGGTTTCATCGCTCTAATGGCGATTTCGTCTCCCATTATTACACTCATTGCTGCTCTGCTTTCTTGTTTTGCCTCTCTTCTTATAATTCCATCGATTTCCTCAACCGGAGATGAACGGAGAACCTTCATCGTCCACGTCCAGCACGACGCGAAGCCGTCCGTGTTCCTGACCCACGACCACTGGTACGAGTCTTCTCTCCGGTCCGTCTCTGCTCTTTCCGATGATACACAGTTACGGCAATGTTTTTCACGGGTTTTCTGCGAGATTGTCTAGCTCGGAGGCTCAGAAGCTCGAGTCTTTGCAGGGGGTTCTTGCGGTCATTCCGGAGCAGGTTAGGCGATTGGAGACGACCCGGTCGCCGGAGTTTCTTGGCTTGACGACGAGGGACAGGGACAGTGCCGGGTTGCTGAAGGAATCGGATTTCGGGTCGGACCTCGTGATTGGGGTTATTGATACTGGGATTTGGCCGGAGCGGAGGAGTTTTGATGATGCGGATCTGGGTCCCGTGCCGGCCAAATGGAAGGGTAGGTGCGTTACCGGGAGGGATTTCCCGGCGAGCTCTTGTAATCGAAAGCTGATTGGAGCCAGGTATTTTTCAGGTGGGTATGAAGCGACGAATGGGAAAATGAACGAGACCAAGGAGTCTCGATCTCCGAGAGACTCCGATGGACATGGAACGCACACGGCGTCTATTGCCGCCGGCAGGTACGTTTTCCCGGCGTCGACACTCGGATACGCCCGCGGATTGGCCGCCGGGATGGCGCCAAAGGCTAGGCTGGCAGCGTACAAAGTCTGCTGGTTGACAGGCTGTTACGACGCCGATATCTTGGCCGCTTTCGATTCCGCCGTCGCCGACGGCGTCGACGTCATCTCACTGAGCGTCGGAGGGGTTGTGGTCCCATACCACCTTGACGCAATTGCAATTGCTGCATTCGGGGCCTCGGACGCCGGAATATTTGTCTCTGCATCTGCCGGAAACGGCGGCCCCAGAGGCCTCACCGTCACCAACGTTGCGCCATGGGTCACCACAGTAGGTGCTGGAACAATCGACCGTGATTTCCCGGCGGACGTGCAGCTCGGGAACGGGAAAATTCTCCCCGGAGTCAGCGTCTACGGCGGTCCCGCTTTAGCACCGCACCGATTCTACCTGCTAGTCTACGCCGGTGCCGTCGGAAGTGACGGGTACTCGTCTTCACTGTGTCTTGAAGGATCGTTAGACCCGAAAATCGTCGGCCGGAAAATTGTGGTCTGCGACAGAGGAATCAATTCAAGAGTTGCCAAAGGGGAAGCGGTGAAAAAAGCCGGGGGAATCGGGATGATTCTTGCAAATGGAGTATTTGACGGCGAAGGATTGGTCGCAGACTGCCACGTGTTACCGGCAACGGCGGTAGGAGCGGCCGCCGGAGAGGAAATTAGGAAATACATAGCCGCCGCATCAAAAACAAAATCCCTACCCACCGCTACCATCCATTTTAGAGGCACTCGGGTCAATGTTCGACCCGCACCCGTTTTAGTCTCATTCTCGGCCCGCGGCCCGAATCCGGTTACGCCCGAAATTCTCAAGCCAGACGTGATAGCGCCTGGCTTGAACATCCTTGCGGCCTGGCCGGACGGAATCGGGCCGAGTGGACTTCCGTCGGATACCCGGAGAACCGAATTTAACATATTGTCCGGAACATCAATGGCATGCCCTCACATCTCCGGGTTGGCCGCATTGCTAAAGGCAGCCCACCCAGAGTGGAGCCCGGCTGCAATCAGATCCGCCTTGATGACTACAGCATACACAGTGGATAACCGGGGCCGAACAATAACAGACGAGAGCACAGGAAACACCTCGACGGTAACAGATTTCGGATCCGGGCACGTCCATCCTCAGAAAGCCATGAATCCCGGCCTAATATACGATATCACCTCACACGACTACGACGATTTCCTATGCAACTCAAACTACACCTCGAAAAACATCCATGTCGTCACTCGAAAATACACCGATTGTAGCGGGGCAAAAAGGGCGGGCCATGTCGGGAACCTAAACTACCCTTCGTTCTCGGCCGTGTTGGAACAATACGGCAATCGCCACAAACTCTCCACCCACTTCATTCGGAGAGTGACCAATGTGGGGGATCCAGATTCGGTTTATACCGTTTCGGTAAAAATCCCGAAAAGGACGAATGTTACCGTGGAGCCGGAGAGGCTGGCGTTTAGGAGGGTGGGACAGAAGCTCAACTTTCTCGTTCGTGTGGAAGCAGAAAAAGCGGAGTTAGTTTCAGGGAACTCTGTTGTGACTAGTGGGACAATAGAATGGTCTGATGGGAAGCACCAAGTGACTTCCCCCATTGTTGTGACATTACAACAACCACTCTAAGCTCAACGTCTCGAGCGGTGGGTCTTACCACGGCTCCAATCATTCTAAAGATCTCATTTGGTTACTCTCATTCGGCAAGTCTCAACCAGGTGAAGAACGACCCCGTGAGAGCGGTTCCCATGGGTCGTTCTTGCGAAGGGACCCTATACTAAGTGGTTTTTCTTAGATTGCCCTGGGTGGACACTAAGGTTCCATGTCTTTGTATTTATTTGTGTGTTTTGTGGCATCTCATAAAGTCACAAGTTGTAGCTTAGGGTTAAAAATAGATGACCTTTGGTTTTCATTTTTTCTTTTGAAGAGTGACAATAATCTTCAAGTGTGTGTAAAAAAACAAATATCCTTACATGTCTTTGAGTGTTGTTGCTTTGGTTATATGTTCATGACCAAAAACAATTGATGTAAAGATGGGCCCAGAGTAAAACATAACCCATAAACTGTCATTATTAATAATCTTCCATAGTATCATGATAGAAGCTTTATTCCAAAATGTTAATTTTTTTAAGGCCTAAATAACCATTGTTTTTAGGTTGGGAAACCTCATCCCACCCGTTTAGAGGTATCCTTTTATAGTTAGCCTTAACAATTCTACTTGGAATTGTCATAAGAACTAAACTACTTTCATACCAAAAGTTGTACCCAGAATTGTGCATTACATGCTTGCTCTTTTACTTTATGTTACTATGATGATTTCACTGGCATAAAATATCAGTGCATAATTTTTTGATCTCACTTGTATTTTTTGCCAGTGTAAACCATCAAAATATTGGTGTATTAATTAGGATACACTTCTTTGTGTACTCCTAGCATGATTATTGTCGTAATTATAAGAATGGTTGTGTTGTGGTATACTTTGTAAACAATTGTTTGTATAATGCACAGACACTTATTTATGTGTGTGTTTGCAACACATTTAATATACAAATGGTGTACTACAAAGTTTATTGTAATCGGAATGCTACTGCAGATTTAATGTCTATGGATCCCACGGGTTATCTTATACTTCTTCGGCTTCCTCGAGATATTTTGACATTGTGTTATGAAGTACGGAGTATTATACGTACTCTATTTTTTGGTTGAATTCATTTTATTTAAAATTAGTAAAAAGTTAAACTTAAAATTTATATATTTAAGAAATAAAGCGCGCATGCACTCACACTCTTTAGAACTAGGGACATTAAAATTTATATATTTAAAAATATATTAAAAGTTTTACAAAATAATAGAGGTACATAAGTGACTTGCCTATATTCTTTCAACAAATGATCTATAATGAACATTATATAATTAAAGAAAATATGATGTAATCATGTGAATTAGTAATAAACATAACCACTTTTCTTTTGGACTATGTTAGGATGCCCCTAAATGGTTGATATCATATGTGCACCCAAACTTTACACAGATAGCACGGATGGTAATTTATTTTCTGTGCGGCACAGATGATAATCATCTGTGCAAAACTTGGGTGCACACATGGTATTAACCTTTTGGAGGCACTCTAGCATTTTCTTTTTCTTTTTGAAAGAAGATGTAGCAATCATTTTATAGTATTTATGTTATTAGAGTCACACATGCAACAGAACTTTGTAAAAAGCAATTAGTTTAAAGCTCTTATGTAGAATTGGGTAATTGATTTGATTCCATTTTTAAAGTTGTTTAGTCCAAATTTCTTATTCTATGCGTCCCAATTAAAGTTGTCTCTTTACTAATCACAAAATCAAATTTTAATCATTTTTTTTACTAATATGATATCATAAACAACAACAGACAACTTAAAATGAGTAACGTGTCACGAGACGAACCTTTTACGTGCACCCAAAATTTCAAAAGTGAACTCTTTTTTTTGTTGGAATTATTGAGCTTTAAGACATGGTGTATGGATATACACTTGAAACATTACTTCATAACCCAAACAAATGGCGTGTATTTATATCAGCAAACCAACAGAAAAAGACCGAACTTAAAGAAAAAAAATGGCGTGCGGGAGAGAGGTACGTCTAGTTTTGTCATTTAGCAATTAATTATAGCTGAATGGGATTTTAGTGGTTGGTACCACTTGCCCACTTGTGTGACACGGGTTGACACTTGACGGAACAGAACCGGTTTTCTTCGATTCCCCTTCCCTCCCGGCAAATCCGTCAAACCCCCTTTTTTTTGTTTAATCTCACTCCCATTCATTAACAATATATTTGGTTCAAGAAATTTAAAAAGGAAAAGAAAAAATGAAGTGTAAAACACTTTTTCTTTTTGGGTTATAGAGGAAAATAAAAGAAAAGTGGAAGGCGAAATGTACCAAGAAGAGAGAAAACCAAATTCTTCCCATTTGGTAAGGAAAATGTGAGAGAAAATCATTTTCTTTTCTTTTTCATCCGAATTCTTTGAACCAAACATAGTGTAAAACTTGTACTTTTCCATTAATTTATCGCAATTCATTTCATTTTCTTTGAAGATTTGCGTCTGCACAAACGAGAATGACTCTTAGGTCCTATTCTCTTGGGTTGAAATTTCAGAGTTGAATGTTGGAAAAAATCAGAAGGAGTTGGAAAATGTTGGAAGAATTTCAAATTTCATTTTTTTAATTTCAAACTTTATTTTAATTTCATTTGGAGAATTATATGAAACAATATAAAAGTACTCCGTAATATGTAAAAATATAAATTAAAAAATGGAAATAGAATGGGGATCCACACCCCTGAATGAGAATAAATAAGGATGAAATGAGGAAAATTGATACACCGGAGTATGACTCTGAGTTAGCAGTGAGAATGGTAGTGATGGCCCAGGGCCAGCCCATGACCTATGCAGCATGTTCAATTGCACAGGGCCCAATAACACTGAGGGCCCAAATTATTTTAGATAGTCAACACCCTAATACCATCCATCTTCCCTATTTTCCCATTTTTTATTCTCTCTTCCGATTTCTTCTTCATTCACTACCTACTTTGTTTAGTCTATTTTCATTTTGTTTAGTTGCTACTCCCTTCGTCCCGCTATATTCGTCCACT